GATTATTCTTTTATTTATGGCACTCTTATCCGGTTCCCCGCATTTTGATTTTTGACACCAAGGTTTTCTATAGAGGGGATCACGTTGCAATCCCACATAATTTGAGCGAAGGGGCCGTCGATCCCTGCTCAACCCTTGCTGTACCCCTGCTAACTTCCGTTGCATCGCCCCTCATGCAGAGAGAGAGAGAGCTTAGGTGCCGCATCCCGTCTCTGCAGTGATGACGTCACTGTCTGACGTCACCTCTGAGCTGTCGGGGCGGCGGCGCGGCGCTGGCGGGGCTGGCCGGGCCGGCGCCGGCTGGCACACACCTCCCTCAGTGTCGGCCGGGGCGGAACACAGCCGCGCCTCCGAGTGCTCCTTCGGGTCTAACCATGGCTGACGGTGAGTGCCTGCCTGTCTGAGAGCCTGAAGGGGACCTGTGACCGCTAGATGTGCGCCGAAAAGGCGTCGGAGCGCAGGTTTGACCGGGAAGGATCTCAGTTAATTGTTCCTCGTTTGTGTTTCGGTTACAGGGGTGAGATGCCCTTGATCTGGATTGACCTGTCTGATGTCGATCCAACTATGATGTCTTTTTATTATCTTGTAATACCTTCGCTCATAGATCTGTGTTGCCTTTGTTCGTCTCGATTGTATCAGTTCCTGCAGACTGATTTAAAACGATTTAGGTATGTATCTGACCTCAGCCCAAATTGACTTGTGCTTCTATTGAGCTCCAGATGTTCTGTGTCTGTCAGATTTACGTACGTTTAATGTTAATTCCGGTATGTCCTTTTTTGGTGTTTGTCTCCGTCTGGTGTTTGTCACGGTCTGTGATGTTTGTCGGCCGTGTTTATCTCGTTCCGTGATGTTCGTCTCGGCTCCTCGACAGTGACCTTCCCGTCCCGGTCCGATCGGCACCAGACCAGACCGTCGGTCGTCGGTCGGCCCGGCAGCGCCGGTGTATTTCGGAGTTGGCCGGCGGCCAGCGCGCCGGCTAGCTGGGCGGGGCAGCCCAGCAGTCTGTTAGAATTAACAGTCTGATTACCCCAGTCTGTGCTAGACAATCTGTCGAGAACTCGGAAGTCTGGGAGTTAGCATTACGACAGTCTGTCGGATTTTTGGGAAGTCTGCAGTATTGCCATTTGCCAGTCCCCACATCTGCAGTCTGTTCCTCAGCTTTACCATGGCCTATCTGCGGATGACTTCACCGGTCACCCGCCAGTGACATTCACCACAAGTGACCCCGTCGCGCTGTCACTGTCGTCCGTCACCCCGTCACTCCGAGCGGGGCCGCGGTGCCCGCCGTCCGGTCCCTCCTATGTACCGCGATTCTTCACTAGCACAGCGCAGCTCCAGCCAAGGTCGGGAGGGCGGCGACCGGCGACTGAGGGGCTGTGTCGTCACAGTACGGCTGGGAGCTTCCTCGGGCGTGGGACGGCAGTGGAGCTCCATCACCCAACGGGGCGAGATGTAGGCGGCTACCAAGGGCAAAGGGCAGCGCCAGCTACAGCGCTAGCAAAAACGAGGGCTTAACATTCTCATAGGAGTAAACAGCTTCATCAGTCTTGTCGTCAGTGGGCCCAGCAGAAAAGAAGTGCAGCTGACGTCCCAGTGGCGACTGCAGCTCCGCTCAGTTTCGGTCAGAGCGTCTTTCACTCGGTCCTCCGTCGATGGACGGGTCCCACCTGAACTAAGTTCGTTGATGACGTCACTCGCTATGATGACCTCACTCCGTGTGGGAGGGGACGGCTGGCCCCCTCCCCTACCCCTCCCCCTGGTGCACTGGGCTGGAGCGGAGCAGCCACCGGCCCGGCCCGGCCCAGTGACAGGCTGCCTGGGCCATGACATCAGCACTCCGACCCGCCCGGAATGGCTCCCCCCTCCCCCGGAATGGAATGGCTGGCCGACTCAGTGGACAGGCCAGGCGAGTTCGAACGGTGACGACAGCAGCCTCTGCGGGGCCTCTGCAGATAAATGAATGGCTAGACAAATTGCTTTAATTAACTGGAAGTCAAACAAGTCTTAAATCTTAATCGTCATTTTGTTCCTTATCGAGTCTCGACACTCTCCCCCTTTCCCCTCAGACGAGTGCTGTCTGGAAGACTGCTGCTGCCACGAGACGGCCGATGACCTGACTTACCACTACCGGCCCATCAGCGGCACCTCGGTCAGCTTCAGCGTGCAGTGTGCCAACGACGCGCACCTGTGCCTCAGTCCGCACGACCACGACTCGGAGGACATGCTGCAGGTCTTCATCGGCGCCTGGAAGAACGGCCAGTCCGGCATCCGGCTAGGAAACAGTGAGTGTCTTCCGGCTAGGAAACAGTGAATATCCCAACCGGACATCCGGCTAGGAAACAGTGAGTGTCCCAACCGGACATCCGGCTAGGAAACAGTGAGTGTCCCAACCGGACATCCGGCTAGGAAGCAAGTGTGTCCCGACCGGACATCCGGAAACAGTGAGTATCCCAACCGGACATCCGGCTAGGAAACAGTGAGTGTCCCAACCGGACATCCGGGAACAGTGAGTGTCCCAACCGGACATCCGGCAAGGAAACAGTGAGTGTCTCGACCAGACATCCGGCTAGGAAACAGTGAGTGTCCCGACCGGACATCCGGCATAGGAAACAGTAGCGAATGCCATGCAGACCGGACATATAACCACTGATTCCCTCCGCGTTCTGCTCATACTCTGGGGCAGTACTAAAATCAATCACACTTTTTAAGCTAAACTTCGACTTGAAAGAGATAAGAATAACGTACAAGTTTGCAACCATTACCATGCCGGATAGATTCACATTGCCGTTTCGGTTTTCAGAGAACAAGCAGGACGTGGCCCGGGTAGACACTCCTGGCATTGTGTCGGAGGAGGAGTTCCGGAAATTCTGGATCAGCTGGGACGATGGCCACGTCAAGGTATGATTAAAGGCTTCTTATAACGATGATAAGGATTATATTTTTCCCATAGGATGAATTAAACTCGGGTATTTTAATTGGTTTCAAATCACATGTTTAGATATAAGTGTTAATGCTATCTAAACGGTCGTTTATGTAACAATTTAATGTTTAAACACTGTGATTTATTAACTGGTAAATACGGTGCATTGAGACATTATATTATCGACACTAAAATATTTGAGGCTTAGCTCATCTAATGGGCGCCGCGTTAATTCTCAGTCCTCAATGTGCATGCATTGCATTGGTCCGTTTCGACTAACGTTTCACCGCGTGCCGTCCATTCGTCCATTGGTCAGGTGGGCCACTGCGGCGACACCACGCCGTTTATGGACTGGAGGAGCCCGCAGCTCATCACCGCCTCCTACCTGGGCTACCGGACCGGCTGGGGCAGCTGCGGCCAGTGGAAGTTCCACGGTAAGTGGGGTTCTTTTCATGGGCTGGAGCAGCTGCAGCCAGTTGAAGTCCCACGGTAAGCCAGCGGCAATGTAACGCACATACGTATATGATAAATGTGGGTTACTCCTGTATATTGTAAAGAAGACTCGTGTATGACTCCGAGGAACAGGTTCAAGAATCTGACTCGAGCTGCAACGTCTGCAGCTTATACGTATGTGCTATTAACTACGTAGGACGTATCGAAATCAAAGCAAGCCACATTATACCACCCTCTCCCTCGTGCGGTCTCTACCGCAGACGAGGCGCTGTTTGAGACGGCGTGCGACTGTCACTACCACTTCCGCGAGGCGCACGGCACGGCGGTGACATTCAGCGTGCAGATCCCCAACGATGCCCACCTGGCGCTGACCTCCGGGCCGGCCGAGGCGGCGCCCATGTACGAGATCTTCATCGGCGGCTGGAACAACACCAAGTCGGCCATACGCTACACTAGCGGTGAGTGGAGGTGGCGCGCGTCAGAGACTGGGTCACACCAGGTCAGGTCCGGCCACGCACTAATAACACCCGAGACCTTACAAGACACGGTCATCTCACGTCCAAAGTTCAGTCATCGGCCATGTAATAACCTTTGTTGAAGAGCTATTGATGCTGATTTGACAGGTTTCCCCTAACTCTCTCTTTTACACCACCCGTTCTCTGCCCCCTCCCGTTGCAGCGATCGTGTTCGACGACTATGTCAGCGAGGACATGTGTATGGAGGAGACGCCCGACATTGTCTCCGGCGACGAGATGAGATCGTTCACCATCTCCTGGACCAGCGGCCTCATCCAGGTGTTCGTCAAGGGGGAGAGCTCGCCGTTCATGTCCTGGAAGGACCCCAACCCCATCACGGTGAGCAGAGTCGCGTCACTCGTCACCATCGCAGGAAGAACTCAGTGCGTCTATCACAGTAATGTCGCGAGGAGCCTGCCGTGACAATCCGAGCTGTCGCTCTCCTAAAGTGGACGTTCTGACGACATAGAATACCAGAGGTCGGTGTACCCTTATTCTCCAACCAACAATAAACAGAGCATCTCTATCACGTACGCTGTATGCGACTGTGTACCTCCGCTCGCCGCCAGTGTCCCTGACCGGCGTCCCGCTCCCTGTGCGCTGCAGGTCACCCACTACGGCTACCGCAGCCGACAGGGCGCCAGCGGCCGGTGGCGGTTCGAGGTCTAGGAGCTCGCCGGCGGGACGGAGCGGCTCCCCCAGCCAGCAGGATCGGACGACCGTGGGGTGTCTGAACAGACACCGCTGCCTCACTGCGGCGCTGATGGCTCACCAGTGAGCACTCCCTGAACTCTGGACCGAGTCAATAAGCTTTACTTGTCGTCTGGTGACGCGGCGTGGCGTACTTAACTCTCGTCCTCCTTTATCGTGCCAGCTGATGAATAACTTCTTCAGGGCAGCTGGAAACAAGTCAACGCGGCTTTGTGCTTATGTAGAATAGGGCCAGTGAACCGGGTCAAATGTCTCTTTTTAGTTGTTGCAGAAACGTGTTTGCAAAGGACGAAATCATGTGAGGGAGCCCATGCTCTTGCATAATACATATTTTCTTGTTGTAAGAAGGTTTAATTTTTTACCTTACCGCTTCTCGGGTGAATCGTATGACAACAAACCAGTTAGTTTCACGTCCTTATTCATATATCAGTAAAAACTACAACAAATAGCACACGACAGGCGCGTGGTCTCACAGCCCCGGACAGTGGCTCCTTTGGGAAGGCAAAGTGGGCAGTCGGCACGGCTCGCCACCGGCGCGCAGTAATACTATCACTTATTGCATGGTCATTAACGCATGGCTGACTAGAAACGAGTCATAGAATCAATTAGGCTTCCGACGGCGACTGACTGAAAGAAGGTTAATACTCTGCGCGTAAACCATCGACAGGCGTCAAACACTCGCTCCGCAGACACCACATGCACCAGTCGTCCACCGACTCACAGTGACACCGAAACGCACTCATCCCGGGACACAATGAACGTGACACAAGACGAGACATAGTCCATCAGATCTGCAATGCACCAGCACTCTCGAGTCCTTCGACTGCGACCGAGGGTCTCCGAGAAAGGCGTATGTCAATTCGGAAGGCCTAAAACGTTCAGGTTCCGTTACTATACATAGTGTGTCGAGCGCACAGCATTAGGAGACTGCTCTGATACTGCACCGCTTCAGGCATGAAACAAGGCACTCATTAGAGGCCTGGGCCGAGGGTGCTCGCTGTAACCCAGCATCGGTAGCGCATTGAAAAAAAAAAATATTGCAGTCGATAGCACTCTGTCATAGACATGAGGCGATGACGTTGAAGGCTGGCAACCTGTAGAAAGGATGGGTCTGCTGCACATTTGGCTGACATCGACACCACTAATCAGTGGAGCAGCCGGCTGGCTGGTCTCTCAGAATACTGGCTTCAATGGCTTTGGTGCGCAATGCGACGACACACACCGGTCGGGCACTCGTCACGTGACCGTTTTCACCACTCCGTCACGGCTGTGACGTGACGTCAGACCACAGTCCGTCCATACGTCCGTGTGATCGCCCTGCAGGCGGCGTCAGGGTCCCGTGGCACAGGCATCATTGCATAGCTCACCATGCAATCACGTCTCACTGCAACACAACTGGCGCTGTTCTCGGTTCATCTGGCGCCGCTCTCAGTTCACCTGGCGCCGCTCTCGGTTCACCTGGCGCCGCTCTCAGCTCGTCTGACGCACCGTCAGTCCACAAAACGCCTCCGTCAGTTCACCTGACGTCAGTATCAGTTCACACACAGCTCCATCAGTCCGCCTGACGCCGCCGTCCCGCTGGTACCGCTGTTACCGGACCGGGCAGCGCTCGGGCGGCACACAGGCGCCCTCGTGAAGCAGCAGGCCCTCCTGGCAGACGCAGCCGGGCCGGCAGGGGGCGCCGCCGGCCGCCGGAGGAGCGCACTGCTCACCGGTCGGCGAGGGGGCCTCGCAGGAGGGCTGACAGTCGGGCACACAGTCCACCGGGCGGGAGCTCTTCGGACACTGCACGGGAGCTGGAACACAGGGAGAGTCAGTGTGAGAAGAGTGCGTATATTATACCACGTGTTGAACATGATTAAACGGCACAGTGTCTTGCTGAGGTCAGCGTGACTCTAACGTCTTCAACCCCCCCCCCCCGTACCCTGAATTCCTCCTAAAGTTCACACGTCCTCCCTCACCTGCACAATCTGTCCCCTCCAGCCAGTCGACGGCGATACCCTTCCGCTGGCAGGCGTGTGAGTAGGCAGTCAGCGCCTCGCAGTAGCACGTCTTACGCTTTCCGCACTCACACATGTCTTGGACACACGACCTGCAAAAGATATGACTCATATTTAACTCGCATCTTGTTTACCATGAGAACAAAATTTATTGCGCAAGGGTGATGTAATAAGTGACAAGTGACATTTAACTAATTATTTGAAGCGGCAATGCCTACATATTGACGCTACTAATTTAATCACGTGCTCGCTTATTGAGCCGGGGACATTGCGTAAAACTCGTCAGTGTCTCCAAAAACACTCGTCCTTACTTGAAGAAGGGCGCCGGGTGGACCTCTGGGTGACAGTCGGCGAACCGGGCCGATTTCAGCCGGTTACACTGTCGGACTGCGGTGGCTCGCGCGGCCCGGTCGCCGCCACACGACTTGGGCTTCCGTTTACGGTGGCGACGCGTCTGACGTCGGGACTGAGCCATACAGAGGGTGCGAGCTGAGGGAGAGAGAGAGGGGGCGGTCAGAGGAGGTCGGGGGACCAGGTAAGGAGAGCGGGCTGTGGGGAGAGGGAGAGGAAAATAAATAAATAACGGGAAGAAAGCAACGAAGTGAAGAAGATCGATTATCTGTCTACATCAGGTAAATATAAACCTGTTGCAAAAAGAGCTCTCTGCATATCTCTCAACAAGCAGCACACGAATACATCAATAAATACTAGCTAAATAAATAAATAACTTTCTAAAACAGTTTCATCTCATAGCGCCAGCCACCTGTCGCTGAACCGGTCTCACCTCCCACCAGCCAGGAGCGGGCGAACCGCCTGGTCAGCTTGACCTGACGACCTCTTCTCGTGGTGAAGTCGTCCGTCTTGTTGCCGTTGTAGTTTCCACACAGGCCACACATCTTGTTCTTGTAGGAGGGCGGCACCTTGACCTGCAGAAAACTGTCGCCGTCCCAAAGAACACTGACGCCTGGAGGAATAACATTTGTTGTTAACGAAACGACTGTAGAGGGCTGATTGCTTGTGTCATTTCCAGCGTGGCTTACTGTAAACCATGAGACGGTGACTAAACTTTAGCTTATCTTTTTTTCAAAACATTTATTTCACACAGACATGAAACCTTCATAAAGAGGCAAGGCAGCAACTCAGATCAAAGCAAAAAAGCAGCTAGTCCCCGCAACTTTAGCAACAACGCAGCAAAGCAACTTTAGCTTATCGGGAGGAAGGCGAATAAGACGGAAGAATTATCATTAATTTTGTTATCAACTAAAACATTCGGTCTGCTTTACGTGTGCCTCACCCAGGTCGCTGAGCTTGACGACCACGTTGTAGTTGTCGTCCGGGTCCTGGCTGATGGACACCTTTCCGAGCTCGAAGTAGGGCAGATCGGCCCTCCGGTTGTTCACCTTGACCCGCTTCTTCTGTCGCAACGCTATCCTCAGGTCTCCCGCCTGCAGCATCGCCGTCTTTGAGCTCATGCACATGCGTGACAACACTGCAGTTTTGGAGTGAATTCCAGCACATAATCAGGCAATATTGTTGTTATTGTTTTATGACAGAGGCATACAATATTGGTCACAACTCGGAGCGATCAATTTAATCTTAGATGAGTTGTTTCATGATTGGTGGCTAAACACCCACCTTTATGGTGGCCGACTGTGTCCAGCTGAAGAAGCGACTCCGCCGGGGGCTGTTGTTGACCCGGATCGAGAACGATTTGTCCACGCAGTCTTTGGCCAGCTGGTATTTGCACGTACCCTGGTAGTTGTACATTTTGCCGTCGAACGTGTTGTAATGCGGATCGCCGAATACCTGTAATCGTACTACCACTCTCAGGGTGTGTGCACAAATATATCGGCAAGGGCTTTAGCTGGAGCTCGGTATTAACACAATGCATGCTTGTTTTATGAAATACGAATAAAAAATGTCATTGGAAAAGATAGGATGACAAATTCACTAAAGCATTTAATATGAGCAGCAGCTAAGACGTTGCAGTCTCCATTGGCTCAGTAATAGCCGCTGGAACACTCCTCCCGTCTCAGTCTCGACCCTTACCGTGCAGACGGCGTCGTCTTCGACACACTGTTCGCAGCACTGTCCGGCCAGTCGGGCGGCGTGGTGGCCGGCCGGACAGTCGGGGCCCTCCGGAGGACACATCTGGAACTCACAGCGCGGCTGGCCCCCCGAACAGGTGCACGAGGCGCACGGGTTCCGCATCGGCCACGACTCGCCGTCCTGACGGCGAGGGAGGGACGTCAGACCATCACGATGTCAGACCATCAGACCATCACCGCAACTGCAAAACGATTCTTCACAAATCACAGTCACCGATCTAAGAACGTCAATAATTTTATCTTCCGAGCCTATTCAAGTCTACAAATCTTTACCGAGCACGTATGTATAGTCGACTACAGAATGATGTTCCACTCCTCAGTAGCTATCAGTTGACCGGAACGCTAAGTTGTGCCGTTTATCACGGAATTAAGCGTGTCGATTGTGAGCATTGCGACAAAGCTATAATTTGTAAACTCAGCCCTTGTGATGCGGCACAGCCTACCACTCCAGGCAAATAATTGCCTGTGAAAAGTGGAACATCATTCTGTAGTCGACTATACGGTTCTGATCTGCACTTATTGTCCTTATAGCATAACATTGAGTTGGGTTTCTCTATTGCTCGACCTCTGCCTGCTCTCCAGCGCTCGTCTCTGCAGTCTGCTCACCTCGTAGGTTTTGCCGAGGTACCGGCAGACGCGCCGGACGCGCTCCGGCCGCCGGCAGACGGGGCAGCAGCGGTCCGGACTGTACACCTGGTGCACCAGCGGACACGCCAGCTCCGGGCAGCTCTGGCGCGCGCACACGCTCGTCGAGCCCTGGCACGAGCACTGCGTGCACGGGTCCAGCGTGAAGTTCTGGCCATCTGAGAAGCGCCGCTTGCCCATCACACAGCCGTCGCTGGGCTTGATCCGTCGCGTGCCTGCCGGCCGGGGAGGGTGGGTGTTGCAGCGCGTCATAGGGCGCCCCGAGGTCGGAAGGAGACTGGGGAGGGGGACCGAGCAGCGGCTCGGCGGTGCAGCTGGGCTCTCCGGCGGAAGTCTGCCGGCCAGGGACGCGGCGCTCCTCTCTGTGTCCAGCTCCACTGACCAGCCTGTTTATTGGTTCAACGGCGCGCTCAATTGGCCGTCTAGACACAGAGGCGTGATGAGGGCGCCGCGCCCCGCCCGATCGTCCGGCGACCGGTGCACGCGACCGACCGGCCGGCCGGCGCGGCCCCGTCCCGGTCTGCAGAGACTGGGAGCTGACCGGGTGGGTGGAAGGATCGCGGACAGTTAGCGGTGGCGCCGGCAGCACAGGCGCTACACGCTGCCGTGGTATTTTCTATGAACTGACCTGTGTATGTAGTGGTCGGACAACATTTCCCGTTAATAGACGGACGGTTTCCGCTGTATACTGACCTGTGCAGCTGTCGCAGCACTGGCCCGGCTCCCGCTTGCTCTCCGAGTACGGACAGGAGAGCGCCGGGCACACCTGTCGGTGGCAGTGGTGAGTGCCGTCCCGGCCACACCGGCAGGTCACGCACGGGTCACTGAGCAGGGTCAGGTTCTGGCCGGGCGCCAGCAGCTGACCGGACAGCAGACAGCCCGGACAGCGCGGACAGCACTGTCCGGCCGCCGCCGGCAGCGGACTGGCGCACGGCGTGTGGCACTGCCGACAGAGGGGACGGGACGCGTCAGCACGCCGGGACATAACGCTGAAACGTGCATCACGCCGTGCATTATGGTGATAAGCGTGACAGATGGCTGGTGAGTGCGTTTACGGAAACAATGGGTTGTACTGTATGCGTACGTTTGTGATATACGAGTTCGTAAGCTGATAAAACAAATCAGCATTGCATACAAATATTCACAAATGCTACATGTAGGTATACATAGGTTGTACGCAAACATATTACCTGCACACCTAAAACTCGGAATCAGTCGGACAATCTCGATGGGGATTTAGAGACGTTCAAATACAAACCGGCACACACTGAGGCCGTCATCGGGACGCAATGTCGTTACCTGGATTTTGGAGACGGTGACCACGCCGCTGAAGCAGTGATTCAGCTGACACGGGTCACTGGGGTCTGTCCACGCGTCCCCCTCGGAAAACCGACCCGCCGCCGTCTGACAGCCTGCCCGAAACATACAGAACAAATGGTGAACGGAAACTCATGGGAAAGCCTCTCACAAACGTGCGTATTGCACAATGATATTCGATAGATTTCTCATAAATTTGTGAAAGGACAGAAACACATTCGTTTGTAAGCGCATGCCGACAAATTATAGCTCGGTATGTAAGATGGGTGGGTGGATGCCATTGAAACCGCAGAGGGGCCGGATATCTGTTTGAACAGCCGCCCGCTGACCGGTTCCGGCTGCCTGCTCAGAGCCGGCAGTTTACAGATACAGCGAGACCGGACACTGCTTGTTCAGAGCCTGCAGTTTACAGATATAGCGCGACCGGACGCTCCGCAGCGCCACGACACAAACTGCATGCTTCTCTGGTTTCCGCAGCCTTTCCAAGGAATACTGCAGGGCAGACCCAGTGTTGCATTGCATCTTGAAGCACGTCAATGCTGTTTATTTGAGTGCTGAGCGCCTGTCATCAGCGGGTTCTGGGTAGCTCTGTCCGTGCTGTCAGCACTATCTGGGTCGTCCCTGTTCGCCTATGACGGCGAGCGCTGATGTGCCGATAGGGTAAAAGGTCTGCACTCTGTAATAACTTGTAATGCCAGCGACATGATCGGCAGCTAATTTGATAAATGTTTAGCTTCAGTGGGCATAACAAAACTCAACTGTGGTCTGTGGCTGCATCAAATGCTAAGGCAGAGCGCTAGTCACCCACACCTATTTGGTCGGTTACCTTTGCACTTTTCGCAGCAGGAGTCTGGGCGCAGTTTTTGTCCCTCCAGTACCAGGTGGCACGTGTCCGCCATGGGACACACCTCTCGGTCACACTTGACCCACCGGTTCTGCGGACAGGTTCGGTCAGAAATCAGCGAGGTTGTAACCCTGTGGCGCTTATACAGTTGTTATAGGTGTGCATGTACGAGAACAGCTAATAGGGCTGGAATCCGGAGTCAGACATCAGGCTGAAGTCGATAGTCAAGTAGTTCGTGTTAGGAGTAGTTATTAATAGTTAATATTTATAGTTAACTAAAAGTAATAGTAATATGAACAATTAACTAATAGTAATAGTAATATTAATAGTTAATGAATAGTAATAGTTAGAACTAGGTAGCTAGGACTAGCAGTTATGACCATGACCATTGACCAGTTAGGACTTATGATCATCGATTCCGGAGTTAGACTTTAAAAAAAAAAAAAAACGGAGGGTAGAACGAAGCTTTCTGCATGGAGCCCACATTTTTCCTTGTGTCACTTCTTTAATGCGGTTCCATGCTGGTTTATGAAAATAGCTAAGAACGTTTCAAACATCCTCTCGATAATGCTGACCAGCCGGGTAACTGGATGACTAGGACACCGCAGTGCAACTGGAGCGTGTTCAAGCTGGCCTGGCCTGGCCTGGCCAGTGGACTGGACTGGACTGGACTGGACGGGGCGGGACTGGACTGGACTGGACTGGACTGGACTGGACTGGACTGGACTGGACTGGACTGGATTGGACTGGACTGGACTGGACTGGACTGGACTGAACTGGACTGGACTGGACTGGACTGGACTGGACTGGACTGGACTGGACTGGACTGGACTGGACTGGACTGGACTGGACTGGACTGGACTGGACTGGACTGGACTGGACTGGACTGAACTGGACTGGACTGGACTGGGCTGGACTGGGCTGGACTGGACTGGACTGGACTGGACTGGACTGGACTGGACTGGACTGAACTGGACTGGACTGGACTGGACTGGACTGGACTGGACTGGACTGGACTGGACTGACACCAGTTACTGAGAGAAATGTCTTTCTCTAATTTAGGTCATCGCGACGTTCAGTCACCTGAAAATAATGTGGATCGCTATGGAACTCGGTCCGGCCATTTACGCTGGTGCTATTTCACATCGGCATCGAAGTCGCCGGCTAATGCAGTCGAGCATAGACGGAGTGCGGGACATTATTACTATGTGTGTTATAACTGGCCGTATTTCTCCCAGGGTAGCCACACTCACCATACACCTGCACGTGATGCACGGGTCGTCTGTGACGGACGGGATGTCCATCAGTTGGCCCTCGTTTGAACAGTCGATATCCAGACCTGCCGACAAGCCGTGCAGGCCGGTGTTAGTCACAATGCAAAAATACACCACACACGTTGACACTCGTGGTCAAGCTACAGGACCATACTTATCGGTCAGTCGGGAATGATGCTTATTGCGCAATGCAAAATGAACCTAGGACACTCACACGGTACAATCACATGCAGTTCTTTAAGACAATATATTGCCGGTCGCTTGTATTGGCACCTAATACGCGTAGCTTGGATTAAATCGGAAAAAAGATATTGAAGGCTCTCAATAATTGTTTGATTAAACACATGTTCTATTCTACTAATTATATGTACATTATTAGTAGATTATTATTAATAATATATACCAATATATCACCTATTGGTCGAGTTTATTGGAATAGGGATACATCAACGCTATCATTTATGCTTCAATACAGCGTAAGCGTATTGTCATGTCTGCCGATTTTAACTGACCAATGGTAAACAAATATTGAGAGTATGCATGTTAGGACTGTTACTTTTTAAAGGGCCTTTAAATTTCCTTAAAATAGCACATACAAAAAAAACATTTGTCTATTGTTATGACGTTCACAAAAAGTCTGATGTTAAAAACCATCTCGCTAATAGTTGATTGTTGGTGTTAAAAGAAGTAAGCTGCTGTTCCACGTATCATTTACCAATGTCATTGCAAACAAAGAGCATCAAAGTTACCCGCAATCAGCAGCCAAAGTCACAGGGAACATTGATGGATGCACGCTGCTAGTGCACACTGTACAGTAGGTCTACTAAAAAAGTCCCCCGCTCCAGAGGCGGCCGGCCGGCCGAACCCCCGGATTCCAGCCCCGACTCTATTGCGCAGGCCGCGGCAGCGACACGGGTCAGGTCGCGGCGCCCGGCGAGTGGGTCAGTTGGCGGCGGCCGGCCGTGGAGTGAGGACGCCGTGTGTGGGGCGCAGAGATGCCGCAGTGCAGAGGAGGGGAAGATAATGACTCTGCACGATGCCGGAAATGATGCCCTTGTGATCTAAATTAAACACCTGCAGTGTATATCCTCCCTTGCCCCATTCCTATTTTATCATAATCCTTTAATAATCCGTAATGGCCATTCAACGCAAGCAAGCAAACAAAACAACCCGTTTAGCGGCGACATCATCTCGGATAAAAAAGCGACAGTGATGTTTAGAATAGACTTAGCGCGAGGGCAAATCGAGGGGTATAACTATATGTATCACATACCGAGTATTTTTTTCCCCATCTAGCGAATTAAGATTGGGGATCTTGTCCAACAAGTCAGCAGCCGTTTTAGACACAGATAAATGCTTTGTTTTCGGTCGCATCATTAGCTGCAATAATTCGAAGCGAGGTTTAACCCTCGCCGGCCGAGAGGAAGGGGTGGATGCCGCCACCATGTATTTTTTTTTTGCGGTAGCTCAAAGCACACTGATGATAGAAGGTTGACATTTCACATGCCTTACATTTCATTCAAGCCGGATCACTTGACATCAACCACCTTTTCAGGTCAGGTCACTCCTAACTATGATGTCTTAATTAGGTAAACCTCTGCACGGTTGTCGGTTATAAAATGATGCATTCCGCAATTCACTTAATGTCATATAAGCATAATGGGGAAATATGGAAACTGTTAATTTGGCGTCGGAAATGATCTGAAACTATACCTCAAGCACATGAAATCGTGACTTCATACATTCTTGGCAAGGTCTAATGCTTCACTTTTGCATTGGTCACCTTGCGTGACGTCATTTATGACGTCACTAGGGTCATACGAGTGCTTCGTCAATAATTCCCGATCAAAATGAGCTAGCCAGTCGGGACAGCCATCAATGGACTTTGCAAGACTTGCCGAATCAAATGTTATGCAACATGTCCTCCTTTCAACAGCTTCGTGACCTGCGTTGCTCTAACATGACATTGACCTGAGGTAAACATCCTAAATTGCTTCACCTAAACAAAAAAGCATATAAATCGACGCGTCTGGGAACAGAAAACACGATTGTATCGAAATGACGATGATGCGTTTAGTTTTTTTACCAAAAACCGATCAAATGCCTTAGGGGCCCTTGACCTGCCCTAAGAGGTCACTAATATTTTAAAATGGGGTACCAGTCGCTGCGTCACGTAACGACGCAAGCGCTCGTTTTTTCCGCGAGGCTCTATCAGCTAGCTCAACTACAGGAGCTAAACATGGGGTCGGGGAATCGCTCCCTTCTCACTCACTATTTGGCCGGGATAATGTTTGCAATTATTGTTAAAATCTAGCATTTTAAGATTTCAAATGACCCATTTTTTCCCGCCCAAGTCTTTCAACTCAAGGTCATAACACCAGGTCACGTCAAGTGACCTTACCTCAAGGAAAGTGCCTGTGCTCATCATATCTAAATACACCGACTAACCGATCGCTTCAGAACTTTCAGCGATTTTAATGGGCAACAGTATATGTATTTGAAACGTTTACTTTGCAAGTTTGACATTGTTGACAGAAAGGCAGGGTCAATTTTGAGATCGCTCAAGTCAATGGGAGAAAATTGAATTGAACTGCGCTTTTTTGGACAGAACGCATAATAAACACTCTGAAAACATGTGGTGCTGAGATACAATACTGAATGAGAAAATTGTTTTTTTGCTGGGGGCCATCTTTTTCGGTCTGAAAAGGCCCTTGCAGAGCTATGACATAACTATGCTCTGGTGTAGTAATTGGGTTGTGCGAGCCAGCGACAGTGATCTGCGGAAGCGAGACTGTTCCCGTGGGACGATTGCCCTGTCGGCACGGTCCTGCCGTCTCCCAAACGGTCACCCAAAGAGGATTATGTGTCCTGGAATGGATCCGACATCAACTACTGGTTGGCTGGTGGGGTGACCTCCAGTCCAGAGAGGAAAGCATGAAGACTAGGGGCGATGCGGATTGGTTTTTCCTGAGGATAGCGAGGACGGAAGGAATCTAGCACCCTTGAACCTTCCTTATACTGAATGTATCTCAAGCTGTTAAATCTCCTAAGCGTTTTTTCTCGACATCGTCAAGGTGTCATTAACAAAAATATGAAATCCGGGAGGATAAATTAAATATAGAAATTGTGGCCAACAGAACATTATCAGTTGCGTTCAACATACTCGTAAGCATGTTCACACATCCAGCTTACATATGAGCCATGTAATAATTATTTTTGATAGACATGCTTAAGTTATGAAATCATCTGAAGTGTTTGTAAAGTTCCACGATACGGATCTAATATCCTGCTATGCATTATGAACATTTCTGGTCAGGTCATGTCTTTGAACATAGGCCAAATTTTTCAAATGACCTTTAAAGATCAACTTTTGATTCATTCGAAGCGTTTTGATAAGAGGAACACGAGGCTGGTAAAATTAATTTCATGCAAGTTTTAAGCTAAAAACTTTTAAGTGTTTGTGGAAAAGCAATTGGTTTTCTCATAATACCTACCGATGGTGGCAACTGGCAGTTCAGGCAGTTGTTATTTACATGCTAAGCCGTTGACCTTAATTAAATCTGACAATATTATTCAGACATAGCGGTAAACGAGCTGATTGTTGTGTTAGGTTAGGCTGAGCTCTTTCGGTCGATTTCAGAGTGGGAAGGATGATAGGAATTAGGGGGAGACAGGGGGCCTGGGCGGGAGTCCTGGACCTCATGCTCCGCTGGCCGCTGGGGCCGAGCCCATCACGTGGGTTGGATTGCCCTGACACATGGATAGCCCTGGGCGGTGTTTCACGGCCCCGCGCTGCAGCACGCTGCGCTGCGCTGCTGCATTGTTGCGGCGGTTGATATGAATTCGGCTCCACGCTAGCGTTGCGAGCTTCCGAGTCTGTTGATGTTTCCATGGAAATAGGAAAACCAATGCACCGATGCGCGCAACGCACCCTGTCTAAGCAAAATTTTACCATCGATGACCTCTAGTGACATGACCTCTGGCTATGACCCGATCCAAAATTGGCTGAAGTATTTTTTTCTTATTTTTGCTACTTTTGACGCTACTTCGAATACCACTTAAATGCCCAAAGCTGAGTTAAAAGAATGATGCTCAATCCCCATTTCCCCTCCAACAGGGCGTGAGAGTCTAGGCATTCCTGTGGGGCACGGGCTAACAATGACTATCTCATAATCATTGTGGCCATGAACATCTACTGCCATTCTTTAACACCGGTTTCGCTGCGCTGAGCGGTGGCCGTCCCGTTTGTTGGATTCTACAGCTGGCTGGCGGAAAGCGTTACCGGCCGCCCGTCCACCGCCCGCGGGCCGGACCGAGCGGTCCCGCTGACCCTACCTGACCTGAGCCCGGCGCGATATGGGACAGGCAGACGGGGGTTCGGCTCAGCGAATGCAGCGCCCACTGGTGCTGGGGACTTTTTTAATAGACCTACTGTACGTACGCTAGTCTCCAATCTGCGGACGGCAGTCACCGGACCGAGCGGGCCCGTCCGGGCGTACAGTTCTGACGGTCGGTACAGTAACGTCCACCAGTGCGTGCAGAATACCCGCTGTTTGCTTATATCGTGCGCCAGTGACCATTTGTGCGATACCGCCGGAGACACTTCACTACAATCAGTCGCCTCATGCAACAGCGGCTGCATGGAGCATCGTATCGCTGCGGGCCGAATCCGCCGGACTTTATGGTCCGTAAACGAATCGTTAGGCTCTCAGCATGCAATATATGCTTCCTTTCATTCTATTTTTGCATGGATCTACATTTACGATGCTGGGACTAATTGACTAGAATTGTTATTTGCTACTTCTGGTGAATGGTGATGTCTCTTAGTCTCGAATGACTCCCCACAATATTTGTTTCCACTTTACATCTCATGATATGCAACCTTTACTAACGTGAAATCGTATGCTTACCACCAGCATCAGAACCTTGGAAGTAGATAGTATATCAACATACCTTTCAAATCGCCGGCTATTGCACTTCTGAATAAGCAGGTGATGACAATCAGAAGACATATAAGCCTCCCAGGAGCCACCTGTGAACAAACGGCGTAGGTCAGTGGCAAGAACAGACAGGCTAGAGGTATTACAAATAAAGGGACCTACTGAGCTACCTTGAGAGAAGCCGCTTATTAAGCTCCCTGCTGAAGATATCTGCACCCTTCCAGCCCACCCACGCCCGTCTCCGCCGACCTCTCGCTCGGTATGATGGCGCGGCGGTAGGCCCATCCCGCGCCCCGCCCCGTCTCTAGCCTCCGATGGCCCGTGACCATCCGGCGGCGTCCGCCAAGGGCGCGGCTGTGAGCCCTCTGCTGCGCCGCCCCCGGCCCGCCCCGGCCCGGACCGGCCCTGCAGACCGCCGGCCGCGCGCGGCGGTCGGACTTTGACATGGCCGAAATTAGGCGGCGGGCTAGGTCCGGGCTCGGATTACTTCAGATACGCCTGCGCTCCAGGCCTTCCGAGCGGTGCAGACCGCCGAGTGTTTACCGAGCGGTGAGCGGGGACAGGGCGCTCTCATCGCTCCGCAGACAGCCTGGCCGGCCGGCCGGTCAGTCAGCGGGAGTCTGAGTCAGGGAGTCATTGTCGAGACAGGCTGCCTGGCCGGCCAGTCAGTCGCCGGGAGTCTGAGTCAGAGAGTCATCACTGAGCGGACATCACTGAGTGGAGACGTCCTCGAGAGAGGAACCGCCGACAGCTAGCCGGTCAGTTAGGTACTGAAGGTAAACGCGGTATCTGTCTGCACAGGTCAGGGCAGTATTTGATGACCCGAGCAACAAGTGGTCTGACACAGACTATTTCAATTTTCAACGGTGATGGCATGCGAGCAATGCATCTGCTACATCGTCTTGCGTTTCGTAATTCGTACTGCTGCTTTACGTATCTACCGGAAAGAACACCCATTTACGTCGCAAGCGTTAAAGGATGAATAAACTGTGCAGTATATAAAGAGAAGATGAAGTTGAGGCAGCGAGTCTAAAAAGAAGCAAAAGGGAGAAAAGAGAAAGAAGGAGAAAGGATGAGCGTGAGAGACGATAGAGAGAGTGAGAGAGAGAGAGAGAGAGAGAGAGAGAGAGAGAGAGAGGAGAGAGCAAGCAGCAAGAGAGAACTCGAAAAGAGCAGCTTATAGTCTCTCTCCCGCTAGGGACATGTAATGCCCTGAGCTTCGCCGCCTCTGTGTAAACCACACATTGGCTGAATACCGTTCGTTCTCCGCTGCAGTACTTCCGTTCTGACGAAACATTTTTCACACCATGACACCATGTTCTTGGTACCGTTTATCGTGTACGTTCGGCCCGACCCGAGCAAGGACGACCGACACTCGACTGTCATGGGTTCTGTTACATGTCCCAAAATGCCAGCGAGTTAGTCAGCAGCCTTTCATAGCACAGCGCGGTCCCTGTCCAGAGCCAAACGGTTGCCATTGATTCGGATTCTTTTCACATTGGACATTGGAACCTAACTGTGTATGGTATCCACTTACGTAAAAGCTCAGATCATATGGCTCAAGAGAGTCGATAAGCTCAGGAAAGGATGAGAAGATATTCATCTATTCCATAGCATATGTTTTGCAACTTTCGGAGCACTGATACCGAGCTGACATGACTACCCTACCGAGTACCGGCTATCTTGTCACCAAATCTTTACTAGTAGACCAATGCTTTGCCGTCAGACACATTGGTCTCGAGGTCACTGACCCAATGGCAGGCAGCATTAGGTAGTCACTACCACGCACTGTCCTGCCCGGTACACGCCTCTCCCTCCCTCCTCCCTCTACCCCCCCCCCTCTCTCTCTCTCTCTCTCTCTCTCGTCCCTCTCCCTCTCCCGCAGCCCTGGGACAGCTCGCCATGAGCCACCGCTCGGCGCCGCCCACCCGACAATCGAGCTGGGCCAGCCATTTGGTTTGTAAATGTCGGCAGCACAAGGCCGCGCCGGCGCCGGCGCGCACAAAGAATGCGGATGGAGCGGCTGCCGCGGCGGTGGCGAGGGAGGGCCGGGCCGTGACGGCGCCGGCCGACACGGAGCTGACACGGCTGACACGGCAGACACGGAGCCGACACGGAGCCGACACGGAGCTGGCACGGCTGACACGGGCCCTCGCAGCGCTAAACCGCGATACCTATGCGTGAAACGAATCGTGGCTGCAAGTGTGCAAACATGAAATAAGAACATACGGTCGCCGAAAACATCTTCCCAAATATAAGAAGATGGTTCGGTCGTAGTAAAACAATCATGTATTGTTGACGTCACTCGTCAGCATATGAAACATTCTATATTGAGTGAATAAGGAGGCATATCTTGGTGCAGTTCTAAGCAGCTGTAGCTATGGTAGCAAGAGGACACGCGAAGATAAGGACGTCTTGTTGCCAGGACAGTGCAGTAGCACTGAGGCAGGAAGTTTGTATCAGCGCATTGGACCAAAATCTGGAATAGAGTCCCGGGATGACGTTTTAGCCTTAACACGATTGAGGTCCCGTAGTTCAGCTTACGCCAAAAGTCATGAGCCGTAAATCAATAATAATGGATCGCGGTATGGTAGTCCGGCCTCCGGTGGCTGTGACGTGCAGGTCCGGTACGGAGAACGAGCCAGGAGTTTCGAATCGCTGTCGGGGGTGGCAGCGCTGCGGGCCGCACGCAGCGGGCGGCGCAGCGAATCTACGACGCACAGAGACCGAGCGAGAGAGAGACGGCCAAGGCCGTACTGAGCGGGGCGCGTGGCACGGCGGGTCAGCGGCAGCGCCGGGCGGCTGGCCGCGGGCGGCGCGTGGGACGGTCGGACGGCCGCCGCAGCACCCGGCCGGCCGACCGGCGCGGCGGCAGAGGCAGGCGCCACACAACGGTCGAGTCACGCCGAACCGCCGCCGAGACTCGGCGCGGCGCCGAGTGGCGCCCGGGGTCAGCTCCATGATTGCCAGACTTCAGCCCACTGGGTCAGCGGCCGACGGGAAATGCTGTAATTATGGCACCACCAGCCACAAAAAGCGGCCCTCCGGCGCGGTTCTTTAGAAAAGGCTGACAGTGCTGTGATTCGAACAATTCGTGAAAGTAGAGCACTTATACAATGCCTGCTTTCAGCTTCATGAATTAAGATCAGCGGGATGGCATATTTCACAGCGATAGGCCTTTTGCGCCTGGAGAGTTAGCTGGAAACTGTGCTAAAACCTTTCCCATCCCGCTGGCCTTTGACAGGTGAGCGGCGATCTACACCCTCGGTTCAGCCTTCAGCAGTCTCGCTAGATCCACACTGAACCAGCCACACGGAGAATGCGACCGTCACTTGTGGCTGGGAGACAGAGAGGTCCTCTCTCAACAGCAATATGACAGTGAGTTAGGCAGCTTAATCGCAAACCGGCTCTGGACATTAAACAAATACCACCCGAATTGCTGTCAGTATGTGTCAGAGCTGTCGTAATCGGCGCTGCCTCTCTGAGCCACTCATATCGAAGCCAACAGTCGAAGACACTGCAACAGTTGTCCCTCTTATCCTCCGGGCGGAGCTCCAAGCTGTCAGCCTAAGCCCCAGCCCTCTCCCGGCGGCTGCGTGCCGGGGAGAAGACGGCGACGTTCCGACAGTGCGGCGGCTGGTAACCCGCAGGTCCCAGACAGACCAGACGCGCGGCCGGACGTCGACAAACAACTGCTCCGGAGACGGCGGGTCGCCGGAACAGCGACACGGAGCACAGACACCCAGTCCGTGTAAAGACAGAAAATAAATACAGGGATAGGTCAGAGGCACATACTCCGTATGTGCAGCTGGACAGAGGACAGACAACGAGCAGAGGGACGCTGAGATGAGGCCAAATAGCCGTTCCACAGACTGGAAGGTCTGAATGCGGTCTCACATTTCTCCGTGGAATCCAATCTACATAGAAAGGCTGCTTTGCGCAATGCACGGGTGCCTCCTGAAAGAGCGTGCGTTATTCTCGTTGCAACAGGTCCGATTCCGAGAAAAGTGACTGGTTGTTTTCCAGCAAATGTTCTACCTTTTGTCTTCAAGACTACAGAATGGACAGCATCTGCCATCCAGGAACAGGGCAAAGCTCTCTGCTCAGGCGGTATCGAGAATGGTCTTTGTTCCTGGGCAGTCTCTGTCTGCATTGTGTAGAATGCACGGTGGAGGTGCACGGCCTGAAAGTCTCTGATCGCAGTACAGCTCCAGTCAGTCTCTGTCTGTCTCTGTGCTCTACGAAGATAGACGGTCTCTGTCTCTGATCGCAGTACAGCTCCAGTCTCTATCTGTCTCTGTGCTCTGTGGAGGTAGACGGTCTCTGTCTCTGATCGCAGTAGAGCTCCAGTCTCTGTCTGTCTCTGTGCTCTGTGGAGGTAGACGGTCTCTGTCTCTGATCTCCGAGAGGCTGAAAGTCTCCGTCTGTGTCCGTTACGGTAAGTCTGCTGGCGGAGGTGGGTTTGACCACGCCCGAACCGCTGCACGTACGATAACAGTGCCAAACAGACGGGCCTGCGTCTGTCTGTCCCTCGACCCGTCCAGCCCAGTCTGCCATCTGTCTGCCGATCAGCCAGCCAGATCAGTCTGCCACGTCACCAATCCAGATCAATCTGTCACACAAAACAGCAGGCCGGGGAACGCGACCCTCGGCCGGAGAGGTGTAAGCCGACCGTGACGCGTCTGGGCGCCCGCCGCCAGTTCCGATCTGAGATCATTGACAGATCACCGATAACGTGTAGCGTAAATAGTATCGCCAGAGTGGCACCGGCACCGCGCCGATTTGTCCGATTAAAACTGGCGCCAGCTTTATCAGCGGTGGCTCTAATTATCGATTTGGATGAATCACGATGTAAACTGCTCTCACGGGTTGCCCGACATTGCATCATTTTGTTAGTGCCTGTAGGTAAAGCCCGGTCGTGTTTCGGTTCAAAAGCTGCGGCTGCGGCTGCAGCTAAGACAATGTTTGTCTCGCCCGACCCAGGACGAGGGACATTAGACGGTTACTGCACAGAAGCGTCTACAGCCGTATATGGATAAGGAAATCTTTGTCTCATAGATCCCTAACATGATCCATGACAGCAATCAATTCA